TAAAAAATAGGGTTAATACTTCCCTCCTAATTAACCTCTCATAGAAGCACCCCCTCTCACCCTCCCATATGGCAATTAAATTTAGAGAAATGTTTTGTGTTAGCACACGTGGAAGCTTTTTTTCCCTAATCTTGATTGCCACATGGGGAGATTGTCTAAGAGTTGCAGCCTGTGGTGGAAAGAATGTTTAACCCTTCCCTCTCTGCAATTCCTTCTAAAAGCAATTTATCTTTGAATGGGGAATTTCTGTTGGCATTGATGGAAATTCAGACTACTAGAAAATACAAGCAGGAGCCTATAAAATGGATTCTGAATGAAGGCATTTGGGCAATGCTTAGAAATACTCCTGTTTGGGAGTAAGCTCCACTGAACTCAATGGGAGTAATTTATAAGTCAACATTTGTAGGACTGCCTTGCAAGTAGCTTCAGGTAATTCTCTCTACTGAGCTGACATTCTCTAGCCATCTTTGAGATGATATAAAGTAATGCCAGGATAACATTTGCTGACTCCAATACTCTATAACAGTTTGGAGGAACTGCCAGATGGCCTTGTTCTGATTGTGAGTTGGCCAGTTACAGTACATATGTGCAGGTAAGATGTTTGGCTTTCCTGCCCTTCTCTTTTAACACATCATCAGCTAAGGGGGAAAACATCCATCAATCAGAGCACTGCAGCTGGAATGGGCAGGGTCTGGTTTTAGGATTCTGCCTTGCTTCTCTTCCCCCCCACCATGGTTTGTGTCCTTTCTTTTAAGTGAAATAAGACAACAGAAGATGCAGACCCAGGGAGAAAGGAGCTGATTGGACAGCTGCAGGTTGTCTGCCTTTCTTACTTAAGTGACAAGTGAAAAAAAATCCACAAACTGGCAAATAGTCAACATATCCCCAGTTTACCAACATCCCTTATTATTTTTTGCATGGACAGTGCAATGAGCAAAAGCAGGACCACTGATTGGAAAAAAAAGCTAAATTTTTAAATATGCGGAAAGACTCAAAAACACACTTTCTCCTTTCTTCTAGCTTGTTAAAAGTAAAGAGAAGATGACATCCAAATGGGACCGTATGGGATGGGAAGTTGCCAGATACGGAAAAAACTAGGGAAATAAAGTGTTAATGGAAAGGGCAAAGGCTGGGAGAAAAATAGTTGCAGGAAGGCTGGCTAGTGACCAGAGGGTTGGGAGGGGGCTGTCCCCCAACACTCCAAAAACATACCTCCAGCCACACCCCCAGCAGGTCACATGATCTCTCCATCAAGATAATGAGTGACATACTTTACACACTTTGAAGCTACAGCAGGAGTAGTGTCTGCTTAAGGGGAAAACCTATTATTTTAAACAGGATATCTCATGTGAAATTAAGGCTGCATTTGTACTCACAGGCTGGGAGAAGATAGAGACAACCTATGAGGCCTAGAAAGAAATTGAATGTTTTCAAAGCATGATGATGTTGAACTAAAGTGCCCAGAGGCAAGAAGGGTTTCCCTATATATGGATAACAAGTCTTCTGGACAACTTTTGCCATGCAGAGCTTGTTTCTATGTTTATTTGTTGTATTTCAGTGGTACTATTTGTAGCCTGATCCTGAGAGGAAGGCTTCTGGCAATAAATGTTGAAAAACAATTAAATACTTGAAAGAACAAAGGCAATATATGAAGCAGGGCATAGATATCATGAAAACTAGTGTGGTTTGCCAAAATAGAAAAGTATGGAGAAATATTGTGAGTCTGCTGTTGTACATTAGTGATAGCTATATTTCCCTTTCTTATCTCTTGCTTTTAATTTCTTTGGTTTGCAGTTTATTGTCCTTTGCACCTAGGAAATATATACAAGAGGGCAAATATTAAATGCTTGCAGAGTGCAGCTGATTTAGGAGAAAGGGATGTTCAAGAGGCTAGCACCCGAACACAGGAAGAAAAACAGATATGGTCTCCAGTAAAGGCTCCCCTCATGCTATGTTTCTTCTCAGCCCTATACAGGTAGTCCTTGACTTACAACAGTTCATTTAGTGACCATTCAAAGTTACATGGCATTGAAAAAAGTGACTATTGCAGCATTCCCATGGTCACATGATTTATATTTGGATGCTTGACACAGTTGCTGTGTCCCCATGTGATCCCCTTTTGTGACTTTCTGACAAGCAAAATCAATGGGGAAACCAAGTTCACTTGACAACTGCATTACTAAAATAAGAACTGCAGTGATTCACTTAACAAATATGGCAAGCAAAATTATAAAATGGAGCAAAACTCATTTAACAAGTTTCTCATTTAGCAATGTAAATTTTGAGCTCAATTGTGGTCGTAAGTAGAGGATTACTTGTACTGCTTTATGGATCAGAGGAAATCATTTATTTCTCCCTCTGTTTTTCACATTTCTCCCAAAGAGCTCCAGATGAATATTTCTATTTTGTTTTCACAGCAATCCTGTGAAATTGTAAGTTTAAGCTCAGGAGATTCTGGAGACTGTTCAGTTTAAACCAGTATTTCTCAACAGTATTTCTCGACCAGGTGGTTGGGGAATTCCTGGATGTCCATTCATCTTAAAGTTGCTAAGGTTGAGAAACCCTGGCCTAGAAGTTTCATAATTAAATGGAGGTTCAAATTTGGGTCACCCTATTCCTGACTACAACATATCTGATGATTTCAGATAAATCCCTGGAGCTGGATCCTGACCTTCCCAACTGACATTTCCTCAATGCAAGACTAAAAACAGTGAAAACATAAGCAAAGGGAGGGATTTGGGGGTGAGGGCGGGGAGGTGAGAAGACAGGGGACTATCTGACAGTCTCCAGGCCTTTTTGAGGTACTTGGGGCTCTGTGGAGGTAATTTCCTCTTTATACAGTATTTCTTTGGTCCAGTGAAGTCTGAAAACTATAAAAATAACTATGGAAATTCTGATGAGTATTCCAATCTTGAATGAGACATCAGTGCAATTCATCATAGTATAATTGACTCCCCCCCCAACATATACACACACCAAGGTTTGATTGAGTCCCCTCTCCTAATTGATAAGTTATTCTCGGATTAGGAAAAAGAAGTTCCTCCAAGACCCCCCTTCTCAGGGATCCCTCCATCGGCCTTCCTGAGGATCCAAGCTACTACAGCACCCCCACCCCTGCAGCACTCAGAGGGAGCTGCCCAGTCCGCTGGACTCAGAAGCAGCTGTTTGGCCCCAGCCAGAACAAAGGGTGAGCCCTGTAGGAGAAAACTAGCAGAAGAAAAGAAAGCCTGCAATGATTCCCTTTCCTTAGGGGTGGAAACGGGGGGGGGGGCAAGTTCCAGCAAGTACAGTGGTCCCTCCAGCATCTGCCTTTCTAAGCACAAAGCCAGCCACTTCTTCACCCTCTAGAAACAGAGGCCCAGATCTGGGGTGGAGTGAGGCCTACCAGCAAATCCCTCCACCTCCTGCATGGGAAGACTCGAAGTAGTCCCAGGCAAAGAGGGGTCGGCAGGATCTCGCTGGGAACAGGGGATCTGTGAAGAAAGTCAGGTTGGGATCTTGCCCCCCACCTTCCATGTATAGACACTGATCATTACAAAATATTGAATTTGCCTCAGCAAGGGCTTCCTTCTTTCTTTCCCCACTCAAACCCCCACTCACCCACCCACCCACCCATCTAGCTTTTTCCAAGATCTGCTGGCAAGGGGACAGCCCAGGAAAAAAGTCCTAGTACATGTCTTCTCTCGAAAGTAAGCACTTTGGGTTTGCCTTCAGGTCAACCTGAATCTTAAACCCTCCTTTCCAAGCCCAAAACTTTTGCAGAAGATCCTTAGATATGGAAGGGAACACCCTCTTGCTGTAAACCAGATAGATTTTCAAAGTATTCCGACAAGATCCCACCGAAACCCAGAGGATTCAGCTCCAAGAAAATTCCTTTGGAGTTTTACAGAAACATATAGCTCTTTCCCCCCTTCACTTTGGTTGTAAGGATGATTACTTTATAATTATGTCCCAGGACATGTAATCAACTACTATTTTTTACAGGTTCATCTCTTTCTTTCTACTTAACTTTAACTTTATTTTTTTTAAATGCAGATGAACACATTCGCCAAGATTAAAAGTACTTCCTTCCTAACTAATTTTGACGATTTGGGGGAAAATGGCCATCTTGTCCCCCCCACAATTGTTCAAGGATTTAAATACAAAGTGGACGAATCAAAAGTATTACTTAGCATTTAAAATGAATAGATATAATTGTTATATCTGGGTGTTCCTGTTTAGTGACATTAGTGGAAGAAAAAGAAATAAATAGGCAATAGAGAAACCATTAAAATGGTTGGTGATAGAGAGCAAAATTAATAGCCTTTTCCACCTCCTAAGTGTCTATAAAAGGTTCTGTGAGCCATGGATTGCCCTATCAAAAAAACATGCTAGATTTTAAGCATAGCTTAATTTTAAAATGGTAATTTCAACATTTTAATGCAGTTGCTTACTTTTTGTAGGAAAATGCTCTTTTCATTTGGAAAAATTCGGCAGCAGAGGTCTCTGGGGTTTTTTTGAGGAAAAGTGAAGGGATTCAGTAAAATTCAATTTATTTTCCTAGTATTCAAAAAAAGTGATTATTTTTCAGGTGATCTGCACCAACAAGATTAATGATCACGATTTCATTTGAAAATCCGGGGCATCCCAAGCAAGGAATTTATGACACATACACCCCCCCCTCCTCCTTTGGTGATCCCTATTCCCACCCTTCTCTTTATTGGAATGGCGATTGCTGCATCATCCTGCTTAGCCTTGTTGTGCAGAAGGAACATAGAAAAGACCTGGGACTGTGGGTCTGTTGTCCTCCCCAAATTCCCTTCTTAAATCTTGCAATAAAAGCTACCCACAATTATGACATAGATACATAAATCGACCATTCTGAGACACATAATTCAATCTGTTCCAGATGATATTTGGTGATCTCTGGAGTTGCAATTTGTAAAATTCAAAAAGCTTCCTGATGGCTTTTGCTTGAGATGGTTTTTATAAAAATACAATCGAGAGACAACAGGAGGACATCAATTTATTAGGAAGACGCTAGGAAGACTTTAAAAACATCTCTGGAAAACCACAAGCCTGGAGCTGGCAGCTCTATTCATCTGTTTACACCTCGTCTTTTGCACAACAGAACCAGTCTCCCAGGGTATCGATCCGCCATAGAAATTTCACAATGGCTAGATATTCCGATTGCAACCGTAGGTGTACAGATAGGTGGAACTGGATAAAGCCTGGGAACCAACCGCCTCTCACAGCCTAAACAGCAGCCCTTACCTTCCTTTTATTCAACCGTTGCTATGCAGGAAATGTGCCCGAGGATGAGGAGCCAAAACAGCAGCAGAGTGCTTCAACTCTGTGGATTCCCCCCCCCCCCAGGTTTTCTAGTCACTTTTTCTTGAACCATATAATTTTTTTTTGGCTTTGTGCATCTTTCTAAAGTAACCTATCTGAGAGCCAGAGAGCAGGAGGAATCTAGCTTGCCCCCCCACCACCACCACCACACACATAAACACACACAAACACAGAGATATCTCTTCAGTCAAGCCAGGCTTGGTATCCAATCCCTTGTGTAGGAAGTCCCCTCAAAGCCACCAGCCAAACTGGAAAGTCAATGATGCTGATTTCTTAAGTCATGAGAGCAGCCTGGTTTTCACCCAGCCCCACCAGAAGCCACCTTCTCTCTTGTCTTCGCTGGAGGAGAGCACTTTCACAAGAGATTCTTTCAGTGTGAGGAAGTTTCTCATTTAATTGCTCCTGAAAATGGGAGGGGAGAGAGAATAAGGAGTTAGGTGAACATAAGAAGTAGGTGTAGCATTGCAGAGAAGTACATATGTCTTTCCCCAGTGTATATAGATACATTATATTGGCATAAATACAGGAAAGAGTATGGTGTTACCTTGGGACTGTCTTAACTTTTTGGTCCATCTTATCAGATATATAATTTACTGGTTGTTTGAGTGATAATTCATGAAGCTATCTTAAAGATCCAACAATATTCCATTTGTTCTTGGCTACACTGAGATAATAGAACAATCCCAATGAAAAGACATCAATTACAGAATCTAGCAAAATATAGACTGATGAATTCTATTGTGATGTTTCCCCCCTTGCTATCTTATTTTATTTTATAGTAACTTTTATTACTGTAACTTGAATTTGTAATTTTATTACACTTTTCAGAATACTCAAGGATTGGTCAGGCATGTAAACCCCAGCAATTAAGGAAGTAAATAAATAATTAGAGGAGAAAAACAGCCAACTGCTTACAAATACTGATCATTTCAATATTGTTTAATATTACACAATACTTTCCCCATGGGCCAGGTGTAATTCAGAAGAAATGTTGCTGAAAATGTATGTATTATTTAATTCCCCCAAACCTACAATTTCCAGTAGAAGTCACATTTAAAAATCCTGATTATCTTTTCCTTGAAAATTTCTTCCATCCTAATCAAGGAATTCAAGATACAGGGAGGGATTTTCATTTTGATCAGGATTAAGAGCAAAGTAAAGCAAAGACCTGTCCAGTCAAATGTCCTGCAAGAAGTAAGACAAAGGGGCATTTCAGGCCAGCCTCTAAATTGGCTTGTTAAGCAACCAGGCTGGACTGAGGAACTCTTTTCTAGATCAAATTCTAATCTAGTTGGTTTCCTCAAGCCTTTGACTGAAAGTGCATTTGTGTAGCTATTAGGCCCCAACTGATTCCCTCAAGAAGATGAAATAGATTCTAGGGTGGCTTGTGTTGGTTCATCATATGGAGATTACCTGTCCCCAATATATGCTGAAGTACAGTTCCCTTTCAGCAGGGCAACAACAGGGTTGTGCCAAGAGATCACTGATTGGTCTTCCAGGAGGAAAAATTAGTTGTGCTTCTTCAAAAGACAGTTAAAGCTTTTTCTAAGATCTATATTGAGTTCTTATCTGAAAAAAAAAATACACATATTTTATCCCAGTGACTGAGAGAATGAAAAACTCATAAGATGCTTTTCCACCAAGTACCTCCAAGAACCTTTGAGCCAATGCCCACTTCCTTTTGGGATCTTAGCTTTTCTGCTTCAAGAATCCATCATGCTCATATCTCTCAGATGGATATGGTGGGAGGTGCTAAGTCCCAAGCTGCCCAAGTCCCCTCTCTCCCCCTTTGTCAGCTTTACCACACATTCTATTTTTTTCTGAGGAAGAAACAAAGTTAAAAATGGATACTTATTCTAAAGAAGTCAAGGTGCAGGTTCAAAAATTTAGAACAGGTTGGATACCATTGGTTACTTGATACTAGGATGTATAAAGCCTTTATATAGTCAATTTTTTTCTGTCCTTTAGTAAATCCTTTAGTGAAACAATTATGTACAATATAAAAACTTGCCCTTGTGCTAAAATACATCACAACCCTTTTTAATACCTTGATCTGAGAATTTCCAAAGTTTGAGCTTTTAATTTTCAGGTATTTGAACTGCATTTCCGAATTATATAACCTAGCCTGAAGCCATATAAATTCTTCTTTCTTTCTTTCTTTCTTTCTTTCTTTCTTTCTTTCTTTCTTTCTTTCTTTCTTTCTTTCTTTCTTTCTTTCTCTCTCTTCATTCACTCTCACACATCTACATTTACCTAGAAACAATGCCTGCTGCTTTCACTGGACTTTCTGCCTAAGAAAAAGCTCCTGGGATTAAGGGTTATAGGAAACATAGGAAGACAGAAGATTCCCGACAATCCTAGAATTCTCTCGATTTTTCTCATTATGCATGCGAGGTGATCTAGCCTAGAGAGGCAACACATATATTTCATCTAGACTGCAAAATAAATATATAAATATTTGCCTGATTTATCTTAATCTTGAACACTTTTTGCATCACTTAATCCGTAAAACTGCAAAAAGGAATCTCTCCGATTGGCTCCAGCATGCTGTGAATCGGCAGAACCAGATCAAACTTCTCAGATTTAGAGAGATGCTGCAGCCTTGCATGGATCCTTCTTTGGGATGGAGATTTTAAAAGAGAAGCCCAGTGTCGTTTTCTCCCCGTTTGCTTGGACACAAAGCAATGGTGGGGGTGGGGGTGGGGGTGGGCAGGACGAAGGAGATCGTTGTTTGAAATGCAAAAGGAAGCAGGGAGAGAGGGGAAATGTGAACTGACCCGAGCGATCGTTTAAATGGGATGGTTTATATCAACGTATCTCTCAGGCTTACTCCTCAAGTAGAGTTTGGATTGTTATTTAGAATGTATTTTTAATGATGAAAAATCAAACAGAATTTGATAGAAACATCCCTTTTTTGCGAGGAAGAAATGGGAAATTAAGCATAGAAGAGGAGAGGGGAAATTGTAAATGCTGAGTCTTTCCATGATTTCTGAGGAAAGGAGTGTGCTCACATAACTCACGCTCGGATCATAAAGTGCTTTAAAGAGAAAGCCCTGTGGAGTTTAGCGCCCGGGCAATGACTAACTGCGATGGAAGAGTAAATAAATAAAGCTAAGTGGTAGCTGTTAACTATATTTCCTTCCGTTTTTTTGTTGGGCTTTGTTTTCGTGAAATCTGGGAATGTCTCCTAGGCCCAACGCTTAAGCTCGGAGGGGAAACAAGAAGCAGCTCCGAAGCGAGTCTCTTGCGGGCCTGCATGTTATTAGCCTCTTTCGAACCAGAGAACTACGGGGGGGGGACCCCCAAAGAAAGTGCCTACTCGCTTATACTCAAGTCTCGGCTCCGGTATTTCCATTGCATCAAAAGTGCTGTTTATAATATACAGACACACGTGCGCCGAGAATCTGGTATGTGATGTCGCCGCTCAGCTGCCGCTGCGCCAAACCAACTGCTCTTTCATTTTCCTTTGAAAACCAGAGAGAGTGAAAAGCTCTCGCTTTAGCAGCCTCGCCGGGTCTATCCTCGCCCGATCTCGTTAAAACTGTCGCTTTGGCCAGCGCTTGCCTGCAATCCGAGTCCAAATCCTACACTCATGGGATCTTCCCCCCCAAATAAAAAGCCCTTTGAATTTTTAAAAACAAATATAAACGACATATCAATGATTTAAAAAGATCAATAGAAACAACTGAATACTGAATCTACACAATCACTCCCCATCATGTCACATAATGTGTTTATTTTTTTTCTCTTTGAAGATAGAGCTCAGTTTTTCAGTCCCCAAAGATGTTTGCTAAGAATTGTGTTTATCTGCTTGATGGGCATTTGTTTCATAAATGAAAGAAATCGGTGCATTTTTGCCCTTTCTCCTATATCTTTCTTCCCTTCCTCTTTAAAAGTGAGTTAACCTTTCTCTTTTAAGAAAAAGAAAACTGAACTTCGGAAAAGGCTGCCACAAGCTGTAATCTTTATTAATCAACATTTCTAGAGCTGGGGATTTGGAATATATTTGAAGTGCAAGAAAACCCAAGCAGAATGTGGGATTGCTTTTGCAACAGTCAGCCTCCATTTCCCAAGGACATTTCCTGTATCAACCCACCGGCATTGGCTTCCAAGTTTCCTCTGCTCCCTTTATCTTATACAATGAGGAGGAGGCCCAGGGAATCTTTAGATTTCGAGGCAACTTCCCTCAAAGTAAAATGTGTGTGTGGTGTGTGTAAAATGGTGTGATAGCATTAGTCACATAGGAAATACTTGGCCCTGCTTTGTGAGTAAATGTGGAAATACATCTTGGCTTAAAAGAATTGCTGCCATCTCAAAATGTCTTCTGCTGTAAAGATTACAAGAGCAGATGTTCCTGTATCTTTTCTAGGAAGTCAAGGAAGAGCCAGAAAGAGTTGGGGAATTGGAAATAATATATGCCCCCAGCATTTATGTGTGCATCTGTGTATGTGTACATATATACATGTGTCAGATTCTAATCCTGCCTATAAGCATTGGAGGTGGGGTGAAGCACCTTGGAGGAAGGAGCAATAAAGAAAGGTCCCTGTTACCTCCTTTCGGCCATGACCGATCCCTGCCTCAGCTCTTTAAAACAGGCAGCCATTTACTGCCCCTTATTGCCCCACTGGCCAGGTTAGCTCATAAAGCTATTCACATGCCACAATGGAGATTTTCTCAACAATTAACAAGAAACAACATAATAAAGCCATTGACAAAGGCCTGGGTATTTACTAGAAATTAGGCACTCTTTAAGAGACTAGTGCGTAATTTCACACACTTTACAGCTCCTCAACACATTTTCCAACGGAGTAAACAACCTGGGTGAGGTTTTGCGGTTTTTGGCCTGGCTCTGTGACCGCCACCTTCAGGAATTATTATTTTTTCCTTCCCCAATCTCCACCCCCCTCCCAATTCACCCCCCCACTCCCCCTACCCCCCCACCCTGCCATCATTAAACTCATTTTAAATTGCGGAATGGCTAAGGAGAGATTATGACCTCTAAACAATAAAAAGACACCAGACTGATCCCTGGCATCTGATGGCCATCCCAGGGCTTTTGCGTTTCTCAGGGCAGAGCTGATAGGGCTAAAGCCAGCTGGGCTAAGGCGTCCTTTGACCTGTGAGCCTGGTCCCCAATCCAGGACCTAGCCAGACTTGCAGGATTTCCTCCCCCCCCCCCAAGAAAGGGCTCAGAGCCAGAAAAGAGGTCCCAGGCCCGTTTTGCTCACAAAGGCTGAGGCCAAAGGTTGCCAGACAGTTGCCCTGCCTCTCCCTAAACTGTCCCCCCCCCTTTTTTTTTGGAATGGCCTCTTTGGGACATCCTGGGCTTTCGGCCAGGAGAAGACCCTCCATTTTGAGCCTCTTGGTGCTCTGCCTCTGGCCTGGAAGAAGTACAAGGGCAGGGGAGGCTCAGGAAGGCCAGGTCTTGCAGGGAAACTGGAAAGCTTGAGGGGCCGCGGCGGCAGCACTGAGGACGGAGACAAAAGGAGAGGGGTTTGCGGGAAACAGGCGAATGAGCCGGAGCCCAAGCAAGACGAGGCCTCCAAGGCGTCGCTTAGGCCTTCCCCTCTGGCCTATGAAAGGCCACCTTGAAGTGGGTCTCTGGACGACTCCTCCAAGAGGCCCTTCCGCTTCGCCTAATGAGCTGGTAACACATTCAGACCGAGGGAGAAAGAAAAGGGGAAGAGAAAGGCCGGAGACACAAGGAGAGGCCAGCCGGGGCAAAGAAACGGCGCGAGGTCCTTTTTCAAAGCAGGCAAGATGGCGACGCCGCGGCTGGTAAACGGGTAGCCTCTTCTCGCTCGTCCCACCACCTCTACCCTTCCCAACTCCTGAGACGCACGAAGGGGCCCTGCCCGTAGTGAAGCCGCGGAGTGGGGAGACCCATTTCTTGTTCCTTCCTGGCTCGGAAATCGACTGTGGGACTGTTTCTGAGTTGCCCGTCTCCCCCAATTCGTGGGCAATTCTACCGGCTCTCAACCCTTGCCCTCTCCTGTTTACAAACACAGCTGTTGCCGTAACTTCGCAATGCACCCTAAAGCCACCAGCAGAGAGAGAAGGTGCAGGAAAAGGAAGGGGGAGGAGGGGGAGGTGATCTCGGCATCTGGAAAGGACGGAGCGCCTTGTTTTTGAAACTGTCAATTCTCTCAACCCCTATTGTGAGAGCTTCATGCAAAACATCTCGGCCCTTTTAACGTTGGGCCTTGTGAGGCTGCCTCGGTTGAAAAGGAAAGGGAGAGGAGAGGAGGGGGAAGAAGGAGGGCAAGGCAAATAATTATATCAGAATAGACACGCACAGAAATTACAACATATCCTGCAATGTGCGTGCATGCACACATACAAACACTTTAGTGGGATTTGAATCTAGAGGAAATGTATTTAGTCAATTCAGGGACATATGCAATCTTTGTCTCAGTTAAAATTAAGAAAGCCAGCTGTTTTGTTCCTTAAACATCCCAACTCCATATGAATGGTTGTTGTATTTTTTTTCAAAGCTGATCTATGGAATTTCTAGAAAAATATTTTACCAATATTTGATGATTATAAAAGCAATTGAGTTAGGTAAAATCCTGCCTTTTGTCATGCTGCTATGGGAAGGGGAAAGCCTCTACAGTATCTGAAATGAAATTTTCTGCCACCCAAATGGAGATACAGTTGAATTGTGAACTTTTCTTTATCTTTCCCCTCTTTCTTTTTTTAACACAAGTGTCTTAACTGTAAAAAACCACAGTAAGCAAGAGCTTCCTGTCTTGTATCTGTGTTTCCCAAAGGCCACTTTTGATCTTAACTCTAAGCATACTCATGTGTAAAATGAAGATATGATTTCAAGTTTCTTCTTACACAAATCTAAATATTTTGGCAATAATAGCATAATCTGTGGGGTCGGCAGTGAATATACACCCCCCCCAATTTTGCCATTATTGCCAAAATACTATTTTTTTTTTGTTAAAAGAGGACACACAGGAAAACATTTGCAAAAATACATAAAGAGCAGTTTTCCATAAATCAGACATGTTTTTCTTTTTTTACTTCCCAATAGTGTTTAAAATAAACAGATTTATTTTGTTTTTCATGTATTAAAATAATTTTGCCTCTTCAGTTAAAAAATGATTGAATTTCTAGAGGCTATCTCCTTTTTCAAACCAGGAGTTGATAGCAAATGCCTGAAAATCAGTTTCACATCCATTCCCTTCGAATGCTGGATGGATAAAGTCCTATTTTTTCTTTGTGTTGAAGAGTGAGGATATCATTTCTTAATTACCTGGCATGGGAAGAATTTATCTGGCATAGGCTTCCAAGGTGAAGCTCAGAGTACCTGTTAGGATACTATTTTTATCAGTTTGGTTTAGCCCCAAGGATTGTGTGTGTATTCCTGCTTATGAATAAGGGCGGAGGGGGGTTCTGGTGGGTATATTTGCACGTGGCAGTATTAAAATAAGAACATTTTACTACATTCAAGCCTTGTTGAAAAATGAAGAATGCCTTCTATGAATGCTAAGGTCTCAGTTTCTGGGGGAGGACAGGCAGACATTCCTCAGGTCATTAATTTGGGATGCACTCTATAAAATTCTCTGCTCCAAAGCAGACTAACAGAAGACCAGGGGATTTCTCTGCAGCAAGATAGGGAGGGTGTGGCTTTATGTTTTCCTCAGCATTCTTAATAGGACAAGAATCTCTTGGACCCACAGGAATTGTTAGAATAAATACACAGAAAAGCATCCAACTGGACTTAGGACCTCTCTTTTTCTCCTTACATTTATGTGTTTTGTTGTTGTTGTTGTTGTTGTTTTAAAAAGATGACTCCTTACATTTGTTTTTTTAAAAAGCTGACTCTTTTTTTCTCTTAAAACCAGGGCTTTAAAAAAATCCCCAAAATAAGCACAGAAGCAATTTCCCCCTAGACTCCCATCATCCAATATATGATTTAGTAGTTGAAGTGATCAGATGGATCAATACTTTTGAACCAAGGCTATAAAAATCATCAGTTAAAATAATATATAGTGAAGAATTATTTCAGCATTTGAGGTTTTCCTATGTACTTGTATTTACCAGCCACTGACACCAGTGGACAAAAAAGGAAAAAATGCATAGATATATAGAAAGCAATAAAGAGGGAGGGGGGTTGTCAGAAACTTAAAAGGCCTTGACTACAGATTTGGAAGTAAATGACCTCTCTAGAATTTGGAAAGATTCAAGAGTGGGTGGTTTTTGTAGAGATTTTTTTTTTTTTTTACTGAGCCATCAGTCCATTGGAAAAGGCAGCCTGAAAAGCTTAAGAGTTCTTTATCTTGCAACCTTTCAAAGCTATAACCAGCAAATTAACCTTGAAAACCCTAAAGTGATATTATAACAACAGACCAATTTTAGTCTTATTTTATTTTTAAGAATTTATTTTCACATTTGAAAGTTAATCTAGTCCAATCTGGTGGAGTGGTTAAGACGCTGGCCCAGAAACCCAAGTCTGTGAGTTTTAATCTCACCTTAGGTATGAAAGCCAACTGGGTGATTTTGGTCTTTCTCAGCCCAACTCCCTTACAGGGTGATTGTTAAGGAGAAAATAGGAGAAAGGAAGGAGTATTCACTGTCTTGAATTATTTATAAATAATAAAGGCAGGGCAAAAACATTTTAAAAAACCAATGTGGTTTTTAATGCAGAAACCAAAGAAGGATCTTTCCATTTGTGAAAGCATTGCCTAGTGGGGAAAGCCTGTGTGAATTTGTCTGGATGAAGGGATGACTGGTCTTACTATATGTCCTTTGGCAGGTATCTCTTCCCAAAGGAGTGAAAGGCCTTTTGCAAATCACTTAGGGGTTGCTGGAAAAACCAAAAGAAGAAAAGGAGGGATGTTCCAAGCCAAAAGACATTAATTCATTCACTCAGGATTGGATGACACACATTTAGATACACATACATCCAGGGTAAATTTCTGCCAGAACATTTCATTTGCATTCTCTCCTCTTTTTGAAAGCATCATATTTTAACAAAGGGATTAAAACACATAATGTAGGCCTGTAAATTAGAAAGAGGGAGCCTGATTATGCAAGAAGGTGAAGATATTTCTAAATATATTTGGCTCTTGCACATAATTTACAGAAAGAAAAAGACATTTATCTTCCTATCTGGGTCTGTATGAGATAGAGAAGAAATTAGCTCAGTCTTTTTGCAATATATAGAAGTAAAGAAGGGAAATATCACCTAGGGCAGGAATGTCAACATTATAAATAATTTCCATAAGAAAAGTTGACTCAGATGCTCAGGATAAACAATGGTTTGTTGCTTTTGTTGTTGTTTTGAAACTGAAGATGTATTCTCTTAGGACTGCCTCTTAAATGATATCCTTGAGCATTTTAATTTTAAATAATGATGCTCTCAAAATCTGAGGAAAGAAAAATAATCCAGCATAAAGAAGCAAATCTAAAGTGCTGATTCAACAGCTTTCAGGGGGATGTAACTAACATTGTAAAAGTTCCTTTCTTATCCCACAGTTATAACATTTGAAACATTTCCATCACAGTTTTATAGGAACAATTAATATCTAGAAGTATCTGTACTTCCAACCAAAGCTTTACATTCTTCTCATGCACCCACTTCACAAAAGAGTAAAAACAAAGATAATCCTGCAAGAAATATATAGACATTTTCTTTTTTAAAACAGTGTTTTATTTGAAAATAAAGCTAAAGCATGCTTTTTCAAGAGTGCAAATTTCCATCATTTTGATTTACTGTTTCCATTATCACAACATCTAGAAGTCCGCTTGCTTCAATTATGACAAATTTTAAGTGCAAATATAGACAATTGCCTCTGATTGTCATGTGCAGTAAAAATGATCTTGCTACAAAGATAGGATGGTTGGGAAAACTGAAATTTCCAGGTATGTAAGAAAACAGTGTCACATCCTGGTTTCAGACACCTGAGTTTGGGTAATCACAGCAGCTACTGAAAGTAAGGAATTTGGGGCTTCTGTTGAATTTAAACATGGGGGCAAGGGTGATTGCATTTCCTGCAATGGAAATCTGAAAAAAAAAATAGTATTCTGATTTTTCTCAATCTGAGAGAGACACAGTTATAGATGCTCCTTCATCTTTTCAATAAAACATGCTTAAGATTGTACTCCATCCCAATCCTAATTCTTCTACGACTGCAGTCTTTATCAATCAGTCAGGGGCTGGGGCTAGGAAGCTTGCAGTCTGATCTGTGATACAGCAGAGTCAATGCTGTAATCAAGATATGATATGTGGACATTCTGAACAATTTATTATGGGATGGGATAGAATGCTCCCTTATTTAAAACTGGCTGGTCCTGGACATTTTATTTTTAATTTTAACAAGAATCCAACTAAATTTAACTGCTTCTATTGATTTTCAGCTGTGAAAGAAACAATTGTCCCAGCAATGATCTAGAAACATACACTCTATGCTAAATGTAGGCATGTTAGTTATTTTGATAGAAAGGAGATGAGGTGGAGATTAAGAGGTGGGAAAATACTTAGAAGTTAAGAAGAAGCGCGCACCCCCCCTCCCCACAACTGAATGATAAAGTCCCTGTGCAACTTCTTGCTGAAGAAAGTTGAATAGAATTGTACAGACTTCAATGTTCCAGATCTAGTGCATTACATATTAATGGCTCATTCAAACAATCTTTCAACTAAACCCAAACCCCAAACATTTACTTGTTACAGTTGAATTGAGGTACCAGGTGCATTATTAACAATCTGAGACAGTAAAGTGTTTCAGTTTGAGAGAGTCCACTGAGGTGTTTGTTTGCTTGTTTTTAATTAACTTGAGACTTTTGCTTGAAGTAGTCTGTGGAATGTTAGATCTCTCTCCCTTCATGCATGCTATTACCCTCTTTCCCCATGATCTGTTTTCATGGCAAAAAAAGTAATCCAATTTTTGTTGCTGTATTCCACCCAGTGACTGGGAGGGACAAACTAGAACTCCAAAAATAAAAATGCAAGCAGATGCGATAGAAGAAAAACCAGAGTAGCTACCCTCAACTGTAGTGAAAAGAAGGTGTTGGGAAAGGGGGAGAATCAAAATATTAGTTATTACTATTATTATTAAGATGAATTCAGAAACTCAAGCCATCCTCACATCAACCATAAAAGTAGAATTCCCATCCAAGCTCTGTCATTAGTTCAATTTCCTGAACTTGTGGCTGGGTGGAAGAGGTATTGGTGACCCACCCAGCTGCCATTTCCAGATAGGATGGGCCTTAGGTGGTGGTTGGGCACTCTTGGCAGTGCTTAAGGTATAGGCTGGTGAGAGATCTCCATCTGGGCCAATCACCAAGGAGGGAGGGCAAGGAAAGTTGCCCATGAAACTGAATGGCCTCTTGAGGGTAGAGGTAACATTGCTGGCCCCCCTCTTGCGTCGGTTAAGAACAGTCAAATCATCCAAGAGGCCTTCCTGTGCCTCTGGGAGTTTCTCTGGAGGTGGCCGGGGGTTGCGTGCTGATTTCAGATTTGGCTTGAGTGGTGCTGGGCTTGGTATGGTGGCTCTTTTGCCCAGGACCAAGGTGCGATAGTTCTTCCTCACCCGGGCTCCAAATTTGTAATCCCCATCTTCAGGTTTGGCAGCAGAAGCAGTGCCTAAAGTGCATGCAGCAAGGGTCCTGCTCAGAGAAGCTGGACACAGAGTGCTCTTGGGAGGGCTAGGAGAGTCCTCCAGGCAGGTAGGGTCTGCCTTGGTTGACAGCAGAAGAGTTCCAGGATTTTGGGTGGGACTGGGCCCTGATGATGACTGGCGGTCTGCCTCTACCTTGGTCTCCTGGTCACTCCCTTCCCATTTCAGAGGAATCTGTACTGGGAGAGCTCCATACTCAGCATTAGCACTGCTGTCCTCAACTTTGATCTGGGCAATGGGCACAAAAGAGAGGGGCTGGACATGGCTTTGGAGATCTGGACTGGCAACAGCAACTCCCTGGCAAGTGGCTGGTCTCCCATTGAGCTGGACATTTCCCGGAAGCTCCTTGGACAGGTAGGTTAGGGCAGCAGTGGTGTTGTTTGCACCAGTTGGAGAAAGAAAAGAAAGGTGAGGGTGAGCAGCAAGGGCAGGCTGGCAGATCTGGCTGTCTCTGAAAAATCTTGCTTGGGGCAAAATGTGGTTTGGCTTTGAGCTAGAAGAGTCACCGCAGGCTAACCAGGGGACCCCAGGCAGGTCAAGAGACTTTACCTCAGGCACGAGTGTGGAATGGTCCTCGCCAGTGAAAAGGGATCTTCCCTGGCCGTCACTGATTCCTTCCGTGGGCTGCTCCAGCAATCTTAAGTATGCGCTGCCGGCAGGATGAGTGGTGCAGTCCAAGCCGAGCTCAGTTTTTGAAAGCCAGCCAGGCGGGTTTCTCCAGTCCTCAGGTTCTTCCGACGCTTCGCATTTGACGAATTGCGCTGGACCAGGGAGCTCCTCGTGGCTAGCAAAATGGGGCGGATGGGGCACGAGGCTAGCTGAAGTCTGGAGGCTGGGCGATTTGCAGAAGCTAGTGCGTCTGAAGCGGATACTCTGGACCGAGACGTGGCTGGAACCGGAGCTAGACTCAGATTCCGAGCTGGTCTCTTCTTCCTCCTCCTCCTCCTCCTCGTCGTCGTCTTCCTCCTCTTCTTGCTCTTCTTCGTCAGAGCTCAGCTCACTGGAATCCGAGGCGCAGCTGCCTTCCTCCTCTTCTTCCTCAGAAGAACCGGAATTGCTGGTGCTGCTCAAGCTGGAGCAGAAGTCGGAGTCGTTGTCTGCTTGATTCGAATAGGAGCTGGATTCCGAGTCGCTACTGTAAGGCTCCGGGAAAGCCGGGGCAGGCTGCGGGGTCAGAAAACCGCGCAGTCCAGGCAGCCTCTCCGCCACGGCGCTCCGAGCCGCTTTGCAAGCTCGGGGCAGAATCACCACACGCCGCCCGCACCCGGCAGAGAAGCGCCTCTCGGTGCTCTTTTTCCGCTTCGTTCTGCAGCCTAGACCCAGCCGTTTGCTTCTAGAGACTGCTGCCGCCGCCGCCGCCGCGAGCTTAGGCTGAGTGGCAATGGCGGCCGAGGAATGGTAGTAGTAATGAGGATGCTTGGAGCAGAGCAGGCTCCGAAAACAAGCGGGTTCTGTGGCCAGGGAAACATAATCCTGGCCAAGCTGGGCCGTTTCATAGTTTACAGCCTCATTGCTAGGCGGTCGGGCAAAGCTTGGCAAACTGCGCCCGGCGGATTTGCTCCAAAAATGAGGTAGATCGGAGGCCGGTAGGAAAGCTCCTGCTTGTGCAGCCGCCGCCGCGGCCGCCGCCTTGCGCCAGGCTGCTTTCTTTCTGCTGCTGGCTTGGCTTGTAGTCCCTTCTTTCAAGCTCAGGCAAAGTTTGCCGCCGCCTTTCCAAAAAGCTGCGTAGGGGTCGGGGCGCAGGGTCCCCTGGCCCGCCTTGGCGCCTCCCCTACGCTTGGTCCTCAGGACCCGTTCGGTTTTGCACGAGGTATAAAGCGCTTCTACGTCCTCGCGGGAAATAAGGGTGCATTTGGCGGCGTGGAAAGCTATAGAGTTGATGGACTTGAGCTTCCGCAATTCCTCCAGGTCGCATTGGTGCTTTTGGACTTTCAGGTGGTCCATGCGCTTGTGCACCGTCGTGCGCGGGATGTTCTTCAGAAGGTCTGTGAAGACCTGCGAGAGGGGGAACATCTGCTTGCCCCGGATCATCAGGTAGCCCAGGCGTACGCCATCCACCTCTTCGAAACCCGACTTCAAATCTTCCATGGTGCGCCTTAAATTAAGCCTAGCATCTGGGCAGGGGAAGCGGAAAATGGATGGGCGACGGCCCGCCGTGCACCCCACAAGTTGGAACGGCGATCAGCAGCAGGAAGAAAAGGTGCGATGTCGGGCGGGTGGGGCGGCAGAGATAGAGAAAGGGAGAAAAGAAATCCACTCACGAAAAGGCAATTTAAAAAATCCTCAGCCAGATGCTGGATTTGGTCTCAAGGCATCCTACTGAATGGAAAAGAACAAAGCGTGTTATTCCTGATCAAACTTCTGAGGACTACCAAAAAAAAAAAAAAAACCAGAAGCTCAAGGCAGAAAGGAGGAGAAGTGGAAAGAGCCCTGGAGGGTGGAAATAAAAAAATCATGTCCTGGGGAGTGGGAGGGAATATATCAGTTTGGTGGCCCCGGCCTTTCTGGCGACGTAGCTGAGGAGGCAGGCTCACTACCTGTGTCCTTGGGCTGGCGGTTCTTCCCCCTGTCCAGCCCAGGATAAAGGAATGTAAAGCCAGAGGGCTGCTGAAGGAGGCAGAAGAGCCACGCAGCCGTTCTTCCCGCCGCTGCTTTCGCTCCAAATCAAATGACAGAGTGAAGTGAGCTCGTCCGGAGACACCTTCATCAATTAATTCCCCTAAAGCCAGCGCTGATTGGACACTCCTGACAGGTGATGCAATAAAAATTGATATTCCACCCCCTTCGTGCCCCCCTCCCCAATCTTTAGCTAATTAGCATACTCTTAGACTGCCACCTCCCCTCCCAAAGTAAATAATACTGTTAGTATATAAATCTTTCTATTAAACAATCCAGAGGTTCTCAGCCAGCCCAAAGGCAGCTCGACGGCGCTTGGGCATTAAAGGAAGGGGTTGGAATTGGATTACTGACGCCGTTTTAGTTCTCTTTTCTTCTTTTTCTTCCTCTTCTTCTTCCTTCCTCCTCTTCCTCCTTCCCCCTTTCTTCTTCCTCCTTCCTCCCTCTTCCTCCTTCTCTTCCTCCTCCTCTCCTTCTCCCCTTTTCCTTCTCCTCCTCTTCCTCCTTCCTCTTCCTTCTCCTCCCCTTCTCCTCTTCCTCCTCCTTCTCTCCTCCTCCTCCCCCTTTCCTCCTCTTCCTCCTCCTCCTTCTCCCCTCTCCTCCCCTTTTCCTCCTCCTCCTCTTCTTCTTCCTCCTCCTCCTTCTCTTCCTCCTTTTTCTTTTACAAAGCCCACCCGAAAAAATAAATAGCAATTCGAAAGCTTCATTCAGCCATTTAGTATAATTAAAGAGAGGCTGTTTTTCCCACCAAGACATTGCAAGAGTTCTAGGGATGAAAGATGACTGAGGTGTGTGTGTATGTGTGTGTGTATGTATGCCCGAATAGCAGAGTAACCATTTTAAGTAATCATTTTAAAGGAGCGTTTATTTTGCCTAACGAGTCAAAGGAGACTTGCTCGTCTGGCGGGTCCCTCCGCGGGGCGTTAAAGTTTCCCCTTTGTTTTAAGAGCTGGGGCGTATTTGTTGTTATTTGGATTTCGCCTTTCTCCCCACCCACCCCCTCCGACTGAGGGAACGAGCATACTCACGTTCACTAGAGGTGCCTCTTCTTTCCTTCTTCTCGCTCCTCTCTATTTCCCACACATACACACCCCTTTTCGCTCCCCCCCAAGAGCTAAGTTGTTGCTCCCCTGCTAGGATTTCTTTGGGGCAATGAGCTTCTCTACAGCTCCAGCTCCGTCATACTGTAACACTTTTCGATGAAATTCTGCCTGTGATATTGGGGGGAGGGGAAGCAGAAGGGGGAAGAGGAAGGGGGGGAGAGATCAGGACGTGGGCTCACGTCAGACCCGTAACAAAGCAGAGATAAGCTAGAACTGTATCCACTTTCCACAGTTTGCGGGGCGGCTTCCCAAGGTAGAAGCTTTGAGTTTCCGAGTCAGTTCCAGGATTGCCTGAGCGTTGATTGTTTGGCGGGAGGGAGGGAGGGAGGGAGGGAGGGAGGGAGGGAGGGAGGGAGGGAGTGTGTGTGTGTGTGTGTGTGTGTGTAGAAGGGAAAATGGTAACAGCTTCAAGAGAGGTACTTGGAGAAGGAGAAGGAAGATTGTAGTGGGTCAAAAGGATGATTCTACTTTACAGCTTCTAACCGCAACTGCCATTGCAGAACTCCTATACAGGTTCGATTCTGCCTTCCACTCCCAGTGTTGCAATTTCAAGATGTGGGATGCACAACTCCTATGTGGGACAGTGGATTTGCCAGAGAGCAGACTACAGATTGAAGTTGCCTTTCATGCCTCCTTTGTAGCTCCCATTAATGACGTCCAAACATTCAACAACTTGGTCTCATGAAAAACTTGCAGAATTGTCCTAGAGGTGCAGCTTATTCTCCCTACACCACCCAACCAGCAAGGTATCCCCTTTCACATTTTCAAGAGTAAGGACTTGAAGAGTCAGCAAATGCATGAAAAACCAAAGAATAAAATACATTCAATATGAAGGGAACAGCTCTTAGGTGTAGAATCAGGCCAAAGCTGGTCTTCCAATGGAAGTCCAGTCAATGGGCTTCAATCAGAATTCTCCAAAGCTTCAGAAGGGTAGTGAATGGAGGTATCCATTGATTTTAAGCTCTCTTCTTGGCCAGATGCACAAATCAGGCCTCTCATAGCTCAGGGCTAGAGTCAAAATGAAATACATCCCTCCTTTGCAGAAAACCCATGGGGGGGGGGGGAGAGAATAAATCCTGTCTTCTAATTCATGGTTCTGTTCCTCAATCCCTTCCCTTGATATAGACCTGCAGGTACAGGAAAAGGACTTCTTATTATACTGGCACTGCAATAAATAAACACACACCATACCCTATACATACATACATACACACATCACTGATTTTCTCCATCTTTTTTGTAATTCATTTTCATGGCTGTTTTGCATGACTACATCCTTTCACCTCTCTTTCCCCAAATATATGATTCCCCAAGAAGGCTGACTTTGTCTTTCTTTGCATCTGAAAGTGAGGAGGCATCCTGAAATTAAGAGGGTCCTTTGAAAACCTAACTAAGCGCCCCTGGGTGACTGCTTGCTTTCCTTTGGCTTCTCAAGAGCTGTCTGAATTCCCAGCCTCTTCAGCAGAATCTAAAGGCAAAGGTAAACAATGAATGGGTGTATCATTGCACAGCTCAAATTGAGCTCCCCATCTTGTCTATAAACAGACTCCTCTTCCTCTCACCCCAGGAGGCAGAGCTTCAGATTCTGGAGCTGCAAGTCTATTTTTTGAGGATAAACAGCTTCTTGGACTGTAAAAAAAATATCATTGTAGGGGAGAAGGAAGGAAGGAAAGAAGGAAAGAAGAAGGAAGGTCCTTTCTTCATCTTTTTTTCTAGGATAGCAGAAGGCTCATCCCATTCCTCCTTCCTCTATTCCCTTTCGCTTTGAGGTTGATGATTCTGGAATCCTTGTAGATCAAGGCACGAAAGAAAGAAGCTGTGGCCCAAAGCCCAAAGTTCTCTCCTCTCTGGTAGCTGCCTATTTGCTTCCTTCACAAAGTTGAGTTCTGACGCCTTGGTTTGACCTGGTGCAGCTCAATTCCTTTGGGTTGCCATTGAACACAAGCCAAACCAACATTCTCCTTACAGCTGTGAAGTACTCAGAGATAAATGGGGTATAGGAATCTCCTTTCTCCCCCACCTCTACTCCCCCCCTCGCACACTTTTAAATTTGCCAGACTACTTGCACCCTTTAGAGAAGGTTCAAACTCTCAAAGGGTTTTGTTTGCTATAAGCATTGGCCTTAAAAGCATACCCTCCTGCACGTGCGTACAGTTATTAAGAATTGGTATGAATCCAAATTTTTTCCAAAGTACATTCTTATTTGTTTTATGTAAGTCATGGTCATAGCAGTCTCTCCCCCCCCCCAGTGTGTGTGTGTGTGTGTGTGTGTGTGTGTGTGTGTGTGATAGAGACAGAGAAACAGAGAGAGTGATGGAGATGTGGGAGGGGAGGGGGGGTAAACAAATGAAGAAGTAAATAAATATACAAGCTCAACTCAAGCCAGAGCACTTAAGAAGAGGATGCGGAGCCTAGCCAGTGGATTGGATTTAAGTCTCACCAGATTTCTTAGGTCTTTTGTTTCTTAAAACTTCCTCCTCTTGATTTTTTTTGGGGGGAGGGGGGAGAAAGCTGCTGGTTTTCTTGTGATCATCAAAACAAAATGCACTCCCAGGATCTTTCTGGCAGCATGTTTGGAGGCAAACTGGATTTATAAACATTAACTCAAAACCCCTACATGAGAAGAAAGAAAAGGAAGAAAGAAAGAAATAGAAAGAAAGAAAGAAAGAAAAATAAATAAATAAATAAATGAATAAATAAATAAATAAATAAATACTGGGGCTGTCCTAGGGATCATAGATTGCCTGCTGCAATCTGGAAGCCCCACTAGAATTCACATTATTCACATGAAAAATCACCTCCTTTTCTCCACTTCCATATCCCTCCCATATAAGAGACCATGTCCATGTTTGTGCGTGTATGAGTGAGCCAGTGAAAAATTAAGATGTTTATTTCCGGTCATTTCCAGAGAGACATGCTTAGAGGAAAAGCAAGGCAGGCCCTTCCCTCCTCCCCCTCTGCTGGGCTATGATTCTTCAGCCCAGCTAAAGCAACACGCTCGGATTCTGGCTGTCTCAGGTTCCAGCCTTAAGCAGGCTCCCTCCTGAAGAATCTGCCTTCTAGTGGACTGTGACTGACTTCCAAGCCCAGGAACCTTGCCCTCAGTTCTTCACCTTCCTATCACAGAAATCTCTGGGGAAACCAGCATACTGGGATTTATTCACGAATGCAGAATGCCGGGTAGTTCTTTGCCTAAATCCTGGTGAAATCTTCTCAAAAGCTGGGCTAGTAACAAGGTTCACTTTAACTCCACTGAATTATGGGCGCTGCTGGGAAAACACTTAAGGTGCTAAAGGCCTGGAACTGGGCCTCCTGTTTCTTTGTGGAATAACAGGCTTACACTGTTGAAGGATCTATGCAGGAGTAGAAAAGCTCCTAACTTTAAGCATTTTGAAAACTGGACTACTGTAGTGGGGCATTGGTGTTTTCAGCTCTTTTGAAAATCTCATTTCAAGAGAACCAAGGACCATCCTCTCAATTCCTGTGAAAGGGTTTTCTGTTACAAATTAATGGAAAAAACCAAACAAAATGGCAGAGGTGAATTATTTTAATCTTTGCAGGTCAGTTTACCTTACATATATAGTACACAGATGATTAGTCAAATATGCTTTTTACCTATCCAGTAGATTTAATGTTTTTTTAAAATCAATTTATATGTCATTTCAAAGCACTCTTGGAAGATGATAAAGCTAATTAGAAAATAACAGAGAAAAATAGTATTACTCTCCTAATGTTGTAAGTATGTCCCTATGAGTGCTCCAATAATTCTTGTTTTTAATTCTTGATATAAAATATATTGGATTGTTGTGTGCTTTTGAAGGACTGAGTGTGTCTCTATTTGAAATTGCTCCTTCAAGTTGTACTTTGATATATTTTCATAGAATTATCAGGATGATGTTAAAACAGCAGGACAATCCAGGCTGATCTCTTCTTTCTGGAAAAATTACCCAGAACCATTTATAGCCTCTTAAAGATTTACTTGTGAAATGCAGCAGCACTTTAAACCTCTGTTTCACTAAGTCCTTAAATTCACTCTATCTTGATACATTTTCAACACTACAATGCCCTCCTTCATGCAATCCTATTGTTTATTTATTCTGTATTATTATCTTTCTGCTGGATGTAGCTTAGTCTTCCAAAGTTAGCCTGAATACCACTCTATGTTTTATGTATATGTGTGTATGTGAGAGCAGCGAATATGTTTGTTTGTTCCTGTACACCAGAAGAAATAAAACATTTTCTAGTCCAAAATAGATATTCACAGTAAGTATATATGCTGTACTTATCACCCTTAATAATATATCCAAAGTAGTTAGGGTGATGGTATGTGAAGGATGAGAAACAATTAAAAGAATATGTGACTATAAATAAACACCTCAAATTGATTTTTTTTAAAAAAATATAGCAAACATAGGTACTTTTTAACACATTAGAATTACGACTATTAAAAAAATAGTCTAAAAGCCATAATAATATTTCTGTAACATAACACCAGGCTCTTGAATTATCCCTTTGTAAACAAAGCCAGGATTTATCATGGTACTAAAGGCTGCTTTTCCCTTCAGCATTTCCCAACTTTATCTTCTCCCATGGAGTATCTTTTCTGCCTAACAGTCCTAGAAAGAGAGGACTTTTTCCATTTTTAATGATTTCTTTCTCCCTAGAAATTTGGCTCATCTTTGTTTTTAAACCTCATACTTAAAAAAGAGTTTTTGGGACACAAACCGCGTGCCATGTTGCCTACTGACCCATAATCAAAATGCAGTGACCTTCTACCCTTTTTTTGCCCCTTGACCCATCCCAAATTCAATGCAGCCTTTATAAATTTGCAAATCCTGGGATGTAAAGAGGATTTGGGGAGGCTTTGTTCTGAAAGGATCCTAAAAATGGGCATTTTTAATTAGACACAAAGGTGCAGTAAACAAAGAGAACAGGCTGGCGTTTCTTACATACAGGTGGGCAAAAGCCTGGACTGCATGGAAAAAAGAGTATCCTAAGTTTAACCCACCTCCTATCATTATTTATCCTCCACCCTGGAAGACCACTGAAAACCAAGGTGCAAAAAGTGAAGAGAACAATTACAAATATAGGAGAGCCAAGGGTTATAGATTTCACCAAAT